TTTAGGGGTTTCAACCCCTTTTTTCTCGAAAACGTGACGTGATGGGACATTTTTGACCCCGGATTCGTGTTCAGCACGAAAAATCCGTTCAGAAACACCAGGTCCCGTCTTATTCGCAGAAAAAAAGTTGAAATTTGTAGACCAGTGTAATCTACCTGTGCACCAAATTTGATTGAAAGACGTTCAGCCGTTTTAGCATGAAAGAGCAACAAAAATACTCACACACTTACTCACAATTTTTGCATTTACGGTTCACGTATACAAAAGTGTAATTAATTTCTATGAGTTTTAAACAGTTTTTATTTGTAAACTAAATAAGAATTTATATTACACTGTTTTCTAAAATTTTTGTTTGATGAATGTATATTTTTTGAAATTCGCACAATTTCAAAGTGGGATGGAATTTAGACCGCGTGAATTAAGGCCGCGTTCTTATTTGTTCGGGGCCTAATTTCATTATTTTTTCGCGGCCTAATTTCACTTGGCAAAATGAATTATGCCTGCGCGGCCTAATTTCCCTTTTTTGTTTTTTTTTGCAGAATTAAATTGTACCCATCAAACCACAAATAAATTTTATTTTTCATTTGGTCGACAAATCAAACGACAAAATAAAGAAAGGTGTTATCTGCAAAAGGTCTTCAGCCGCTCTTCTTCGGCAACACATAAAGAGAATTCTACTTAAAGAGGGTTATAATCCCTGAGCGCGGCCCAAGGCCGTGTTCTATATATGCTAACTAATTAATAATATAAATTTCTTTAGCATTTATTATGCATTTCTTTTAAAAAAGGTTATTTATGAAAAAAAAAATTATTTTTTTTTTGTTTTTGGTATTTGGTGCATATGCCCGCGCCTATGCCTAATTTCAGTTTTGGATCGCGGCCTAATTTCATTTGTCGAAATGAATTACGCCCGCGCGGCCTAATTTCATTTTTGTATCGTGGTGTTAATACACGCGGCCTTAATTCACGGAGCTATTTCGAAGAAATCTGACAGTTCTCCTTCACAAAGATTAAATTATACAGTTTATTCTTTAGTACATACATATGTACACTTCTTAAATTTCCAGCCGTTTCCTTCTTTGTTTGATTACCACAACGCTAAGTCGTGCAAAACTTTGCTTTTAACTCATTTAACCTTCGTCTCACTTAAGTAATTAACACTTCTTAGCTTCAAAAGATAAATAAATGCAGGAAAATGTAGTGCACCGCACGAGTAGAAACGAAAGCTATGCAAGCATACCATTTCTCAGCCACTCTGCTACTTGTTTTTGTTAAATACTTAGTTTCAAAGAACAGTTAAATCAATACGGCGGGGGATACAACAAACAAGTGCAACTGAAGTGCAATTCGCAGGGTCATACCAAGGATGTTTATGCTTTGTGTTAAAATTTAATCTTTAATGCATTCGGTTAAAGTGAAGTAAGTCTGTGTGGGTATATCTTATTAAGTTGGCAATGATGGATTTCCTAGTCGCAATTATTTTTGTCTTTCTAAGTAATTTCATAGTAAGCGCAAAATTGTAGTTGAAAGTGGCATTACAGTAGCAATGCTTCCGATGAATACATAGCTGCATCTGTTCTTGCCAATCCAAAAGTTCTCTTCGACGATCGACGATATTATAGCCTCTACCCGAGTGCTTAGCTCAATTTTGTTTCTCCTACCAGTTTGGATTTTGTAAGTTGAACTTAGATCGCTAATAATGACAGCTAATATTTCTATATAGTATTGCCTTATTTTGCTTCTAACTCTGTTAACTAATATTCTACATTTATAGTGACACAGTTCGAGGACTTCCTACGACTACTGAATACGACACACGCAAACGAAAAATTTGCAGAAATTTTTGTCTTAATCGGCCCGAAGTGGACCTTACTTGTAATCAATTGAATAGTGTAGTTTTCCACCCTAGTGACAAAACGATTAAAAAATTAAATTAAACTCCTGAAAATCGTCATTTACTTGGCGTCCTTTGAGCCCGTACCCTAGGTTATCCGGAACAGCTCCATATCTGCTTAGCTTACGAGTGGCAAATTTCGGAAATGCTGCTTTTTTCACATCAGTTCATTTGCTATTTTATTCCCTTTCAAGTCCGTGCGCCATTGGATACATATTTAAACTATTTTGAGATAAGACCGCCCTCTTCTACATTTCTCCATAAGCTGTGACCTAATCTAGGAAGAAGAGAGTCGCTGAATTGCCATCTGACTGTCTAAGAAAATATACATCTGTGTTCTCGGCGATGCATGTTTTTTTTTGTATCTTACGGCCTCCTTAATTGTAAGCGTTTCCGCCCGGAAAATAAATCAAAATCAAAGGGCGATTATCACAACATAAGTTTTTTATAACAAATGTTGTTTGTAGCTTCACAAGTGCGCTTTGGATATACTGAAACAATAAGCGACCAATTGCAGCAGAAAATTCAGGATTTTCAAAGTTTTCATTCGAGGTATTTTTGAATTTTTTCCGATATTCTTACGTTTTTTTTTGAATTTTGCGACCAATTATAAGTTTTTCAGGATGTTTCGGTATCGTTTGACAGTTCTTTCCATACTCTATATTTTGTTGGTATTTTACGATACTTTCTGGTGCTTTCGGGATCTCCAATGACATTTCAGGAATTTTTGGGCCCCAATCGAGAAATTTTCGAGGGATTTTCAAAAATTTTAGGGATCGTTTGGAATTCATCCGGTTTTTTTAGTATTTAACAGGATTTTTCTGTTACTTTCGGCATATTTTCGAAGCGTTAAGTACTACTGGGAACTATTCGGAGTTTTGTGGACGTCGTTTTTGTGCTTTCAGGATGCTT